CTTCAGCCTTCCAGGTAGCTAAGATCAGAAATGTACACCACCACACCTGGCTAATTTTTTATATTTTTGGTAGAGACAAGATTTCACCATGTGGCCCAGGCTGTAATTGACTTTTGTTACTTTGTATCTTGAATAATTTGCTTTTGAAAAGTCATTGTATCATATATCCCATCAGGTTTTGGTTTAAGAAAAATGGACTGCTGCTTATTCATAAGTGGAAGTAGAAGAGGGATTGACACAAATAATACACACAGTGGCCAACTAAAAAATAATGTAGGGCCAGGTGAGTTGGCTCATGCCTATAATTCCAGCACTTTTGGAGGCTGAGATGGGTAGATCACTTGAGATCAGGAGTTCAAGACCAGCCCAACATGGCGAAACCCTGGCTCTACTAAAAATACAAAAAAAGTTAGCTGGGTGTGGTGGTGTGCGTCTGTAGTCCCACTGACTTGGGAAGTGAGGCAGGAGAATCACTTGAACCCAAGAGGCAGAGGTTGCAGCAAGCCAAGATCGCGCCGCTGCACTCTAGCATGGGCAACAAAATGAGACTCTGTCTCAAAACAAACAAACAATGTAATACAGGTTCAATATCCCTTATTTAAGGTGTTTTGGACTTCAGAGTTTTCAGGATTTTGTAATATTTTGCATTATGTTGGTTGAGCAACCGAAATCCCAAGTGAGCATTTCATTTGAGCATCATGTCAGCGCTCAAAATAGTGTTTTGGAATATTTCAGATTTTCAATTTTCAGATTTGGGATGCTCAACCTGTATAGCATTTTTGCCTGTTCATTACCTTCTTCAAGTTCTCCCTCCTCTTTCCCTCCTCCTTTCACACAACTTCCCCTTCCCCTAACTGCGTCCTCTCCCTACATTCATTTACAGAAGATTTACTTTCCCAAAGATGATTGCTTCTGGTGTTTCTCACAATTTTTCATCAGTTACTCCTCTGGCAGCAAAGTATAAGCATATTTCTCAAGAAGTCTGAGAATAGTGTTACAAGGTCACCCACAAGGCCAATATTTCTTTGCATTCTCCTGATTTATCTTAAAGGTTTATATACCTTTTGCTTTCTAACCTCTTTGTGCTCACTGTATTATAAAATATTACAATACATGTCATACCTCTGTGTAAAATACTCCAGGAAGCTGTGCCACATTTGTCAAGTGACTTTAAATTCTCTCTGGCTTATAGCTGCATCCCCTGGTGGTACATCTGACCCTAGTTTGAGAAACTTAGACTCTAAATATAAATGAATTTGTATTTTCTAAGAATGTATTATTAAGTAAAAGAAGGAGTCAGATGTATACTAAATTTTCAAAGATTATCAGTGGAGAGATATGGAACATTCCTTTGAGAGGGAAGTGTTGGAATCATTTGGAAGATTATTTTTCAGATTTTTCCCTTCTCCCTTTCCATTTTGAGAATTACTGCCACAACTAGTCCCTGTTCTGATGGAAAAATGCTTTCTTCCCCAGTGATATTGGGGTATAAAAAAGAATGACAGGCTGGGCACGATGTCTCACACCTATAATCCCAGCACTTTGGGAGGCTGAGGCAGGCAGATCACCTGAGGTCAGGAGTTCTAGACAAAAGCTTGGCCAACATGGTGAAACCTACCTATACTAAAGATACAAAAATTAGCTGGGTGTGGTGGCACATGCCTGTAGTCCCAGCTACTCAGGAGGCTGAGCAGGAGAATCGCTTGAAGCTGGGAGGCAAAGGTTGCAGTGAGCTGAGGTCACGCCATAGCACTCCAGCCTGGGCAAGAAAGTGAGACTCCATCTCAAGAAAAAAATAAAAATAATAAAAAATAAAAAAGAGTGAGGACTATTCAAATTTAACAGACACACACACACACACACACACGCACGCATACATACATATATGCATACACACACTACATATACTGTGTATACTATTCGAATGAATTACAAGGTAATTTTTATTATTCTAAAATCTATTTGACTAACTGAATTAGAGTTTTCTGGTTTTATTATTTATCATAGCCAAAAGTGATGTAATGCATTCAGTTACCAAAAAAAGTGAGTCCTTGACTTGTCCTGTTTCAATATTCCAGTCTGATGAAGGTTAGGATTTAGCGCCACCCTGCTCCCAAATTAGAAAATTATTTTGCTAGATTAGAAATGTTTTTCTCCAAAATATCTGCAGAGCTCTGCCCAGTCTGACCATTTGTTCCCACTAGGGTGCCTTTAAGTGCCTCAGTGCTTTTAGCTTTCCTGTTTCTTTTGTTCTGTGTCCTCTGTCTTTCTGCCTCCTGCTGCTGGTGTCTAACATAACCATCATAGTAACAAAGTGTTTCTAATTTGAGGTCCAATGCCATAGAATACATTTTCTAAGACATACAATACTGTGACAAATGTAAGAAAATAGTTCCCTGACAAAAGGACATCTGACATAAAAGCCATTTAGGATCATTCTTGTTGCAGCACAGAACAGACAGAGAATTTAGCAGTGGCAGTCTAAGGGCTCACTTAGCAAGGCAGGTGCTGCCTCCTCGATAGGGATTCCACCTTTCAGGAAGCATGCATCTCACTCTGTGAGAACCTATGAAAACCTTGATTTCAGAGTTAGGAGAGAAGGTCAAAGGTCTGGCACTTCAATTCCTGTATCCTAGATTTCAGTCCATCTTTATTTCCTCCTTTGTGTTTTCTACTGCCCTCTACCACTGTCATTTGGAGAATTCTAAGCTGTAACATAGGTAACTTAAAGAAACAAAAATAGGACCCAAATAAAATTTCTTAGATTTTATAACCATGCCTTTTCCAGTTCCCTTTATCTTTTTTGTTTATTTTTCTATATTGACAATTCTTCCTTTTGAGACTTAAATGGAAGATCAAGTCATGTGAGTCAGTAAATATTATTACAAATAAAGATGTATTCTTGGAGTGTTTTTAGAGTAAATATTATGAATAAGGTAATATATGAGACCTTGGAGACTAAATGATGAGATCAGATGTATAACAGCATCTTGGAGCTGATATAGTCTGGGTTGAAAGAGAGAGAAATTAATTAAATAATCAGAAATAACTATATATTTATAACTGATAACATTTGATCCTCCTCCTTATTGAAATGGTTTCTTCACTTTTAGTCTAGATTACCATACTCTTGGTTTTCCTGCCCCACTGGCCACTCCTTTTTTGTTTCCTTTGCTGAGTCCTTCTCTTCTTTCACCTAAATACCGGAGTACTCTAGGTCATAGCCCTTGGATGTTTTTGTTCTCTATTCTCCCTCAATAATACCAGCTGGTTCTATGACTTTAAATAGCATCTCTCTCTCTCTCTCTCTCTCTCTCCCTTTTTTTTTTGAGACCGGAGTCTCGCTCTGTCACCTAGACTGGAGTTCAATGGCACGATCTCAGCTCATTGCAATCTCTGCCAGGCTCAAGCAATTCTTGTGCCTCAGCCTCCTGTGTAGCTGGGACTACAGGCACCTGCCACCAGGCCTTGCTAATTTTGTATTTTTTGTAGAGATGGGATTTCACCGTATTGGCCAGGCTGGTCTTGAACCCCTGACCTCAAGTGAGCTGCCCGCCTCAGCCTCCCAAAGTGTTGGGATTACAGGCGTGAGCCATTGTGCGTGGCCAGTATCTCTTGACATCTATATGCTGATGACACCCAAATTTATATCTGCATTTTGTATTCCTCCCTAAACTCACTGCTTTCCATTTCACTGCATTGACTCAGTGGCTCAGGACAGAAATCTAAGGTATCTTTTGTTCTTTCTTTACTTTCACAGACTTTGCTGTTCTTTCAGCAAAGTCTGTTGGCTATACCTCCAAATTATGTCCAATTCTTATCACCTTTACTGTTACCATGCTGGTTCAGCTGACAGTAGTTTCTTAACTGGTCATTTATTCCAAGTACCCTCATTCCTATCCCTGATTATGGCATCTGTTAACCACTAAATAACGGAAGTAACCTTTTTTTTCTTTTCTTTCTTTTTTTTTTTTCTGGAGAAAGGATCTCACTCTGTTACCCAGGCTGGAGTACAGTGGCATGATCTCAGCTCACTACGGCCTCTGCCTCTTGGGGTCAAGTGATTCTCATGCCTCACTGCCCTTTAGTAGCTGGGATTATAGGCATGTGCTACCACACCAGGCTAATTTTTGTATTTTTAGTAAAGACAAAGTTTCACCATGTTGGTCAGGCTGGCAAAGTAATCTTTTTAAGGCCTAAAAAAGACCTGTGCAAAATCCTCCAATGAAGTGCTGATTTCAGGTATGGTGCAAGAAATGTACAAGATGAATCTCAGAGGATAGGATATTAAAAGAGTTACAGAAAGGATGAGAGAATGAAACTATAATCATAAAATTGGAAATGGTGCCTACTGACAGAAACAATAAAGGTCTCTTATGATACTTCTCAAGATCATGTCAAACTTTAGGAATTTAAAGACAAAAAATGAAATTATACAGAATTTATAAATCAAACTAATAGAGAAACTTTTTGATAATTTGTTTATGGAGACACACAAACATGCACATGCATGTTTTAAGAATTTTTTAATCCTGTAAAAAAAAAAATGGAGAAAAGCACAATGAACTTGTATATTCCCCTTACCTAGACTGTTAATGCTGGCTACTTTCTTAGGTTGAAACATATAAAAATGTCCTTGTTTTGACAAATAAATGATAAAATGAATGGTTCAACTGAAGGCACACTAACATATACACTTATACATGATACACATCCTTTAAACAAACCATCCAACAAACCATCTGAGAGTAGGTTATAGATATGAGGCTCCATTACACATTTCTCCAAAACAGAAACATTCTACTCAACTGAGAAAAATCAACATTAATTCATATCATCATCCACATATAGTTCTTATTCAGATTTCTCGATTTGAACCATCAGTTTTTAAAGAAAATCACATTACAAAATCATTTTGTGCGTCTGGTGGGCTTTCTCTTACAGAATAAAGTGACTGTGTTTACTCTTCACTTACTCTAGCTTTTTTCTTTGTGGTTTAGCTTCTTACATCTGTGTTTGACAATAGTATCAAGACTTTTGGAGTAATTGAGAGTGACCCTTTTGACTGGGAGAAGACTGGAACTGATGGCTCCCTAACAACCACCACTACTTCTACTACCCCTCAGTTGCACACTCGCTTGACCCCTGCTGCAATTGGGTATGTCCTAAACAGATCATTTGGTGGTGTCTTTTCTGGTTGCATTATATTTGCAAAAATTTATTTCATCCAGATTCCCTCAGATGACCTAATGCTAAGACATCCGAGAGAGCCTATAGATTTCCTTGAATTAACATTGCTCTTATGTACACCTTTGGAATTACTTACTTTAGATAGTACTAATCGATTACACTGTGAAATGGGATCTTACAGCTTATGTAACTTGTTGATGTCAAATTTATCATGGGTTTTCTTCAAAATGAGAAGTAGCATTAGTTGTGTTTCCAAATAATATGTAAGACTCTGAAAAGAATGTGCCACAATCATATCTAACTATACTGTGGTAAAGTTTACTGGGAACAAAGCATGTAGCATATTCCTCTTAAAGATTTAACTTTCATAATGTATTAAGAAAAGGTTATGGTCTATTTCTGTGATCTTAGTTTTTTTTTTTTTTTTTTGAGACGGAGTTTCGCTCTTGTTACCCAGGCTGGAATGCAATGGTGCGATCTCGGCTCACCGCAACCTCCGCCTCCTGGGTTCAGGCAATTCTCCTGCCTCAACCTCCTGAGTAGCTGGGATTACAGGCACGCGCCACCATGCCCAACTAATTTTTTGTATTTTTAGTAGAGACGGGGTTTCACCATGTTGACCAGGATGGTCTCGATCTCCTGACCTCATGATCCACCCGCCTCAGCCTCCCAAAGTGCTGGGATTACAGGCTTGAGCCACCGCACCCGGCTGTGATCTTAGTTTTTTATTGTTAATGTTTTTTCCTCTACATGTATTATATATGTTCCTTTTGTCCTTTATTTTATTTTGTTTTTTGATTTGTCTTTTTAATTTTTCTATTTTTTTACCTGCTTTGGTTGTTTAAAACTTTTTGGTTAAAAAAAAATAAAAAGTAAATACCCAGAATGCTGAGGCAGAAGGATCACTTGAGCCCAGGAGTTAGAGGCTGTAGTGAGCTATGATTGTGCCACACACACTAACCTATGCAATAGAGTGGGACCTGTCTCTGAAGAAAAGAAAGCAAATAGTAAATAGGGAAAAACTATGATACAATTTAAGTTAATTGGGACACTTTACCACTAATCCATTGCTTTTATTTTTTATTCATTTTTAACACAGAGTTTTGCTCTTATTGCCCAGGCTGGAGTGCAGTAGTGCAATATCAGCTCATTGCAACCTCCACCTCCTAGGTTCAAGTGAGTCTCCTACCTTAGCCTCCCAAGTAGCTGGTATTACAGGCCTTTGCCACCATGCCTGGCTAATTTTGTACTTTTAGTAGAGACGGGGTTTCACTATGTGCGATCTCGGCTCACTGCAACCTTTGCTTCCTGGATTCAAGTGATTCTCCTGCCTTAGCCTCTGAAGTAGCTGGTATTACAGGCCTTTGCCACCATACTAGGCTAATTTGGTATTTTTAGTAGAGACTGGGTTTCACTGTGCTGGTCTCGAACTCCTGACCTCAAGCAATCTGCCTACCTTGGCCTCCCGAAGTCCTAGGATTTCAGGTGAACGGGAAGTTGTGTGAAAGAGGAGGAAAAGAGAAGGGAGAACTTGAAGAAGGTAATGAACAGGCAAAAATGGTATACAGGTTGAGTATCCCAAATCTGAAAATCAAAAATCTGAAATCAAAAAAAAAAAAAAGGTTTGTGTCCAAAGATAGGTATTAGAACAAAAAGGCGAACCTTCTGAAATAATCCCCAAAATTATTTGTAAATTAATTTTGTGTTGCTAAGGCCTTGCATGTAGTAGGTGCTTAGTAAAAACTCTGCAGTTGGGTGGACATAGTGGCTCATACCTGTAATCGCAGCACTTTGGTAGGCCCAGGCGGGTCGATCACTTGAGGCCAAGAGTTCAAGACCAGCCTGGCCAATGCGGCAAAACCCCATCTCTACTAAAAATACAAAAAAATTAGCTGGGCATGGTGGTGCATGCCTGTAATTGCAGCTACTTGGGAGGCTGAGGCAGTAGAATCACTTGAACCCGGGAGGCAGAGGTTGCAGTGAGCTGAGGTTGTATCACTGCACTGCAGCCTGGGAGACAGAGCATGACTCAGTCTCAAAAAAAAAAAAAAGTCTGCAAGTGAAAAAGTAATACACATTTCACACTTAAAAAAAATAGCTGATTGATCTGACACCCGTTTATTTCATTATGGCGCCGTGAAAGTTGATTTTACAAATTAGGTCATTCTTGTCATACTCAACAAAATCAATCAAGAGGCTGGGGGAGGGGGAAAGCACTTGGGGCACGTAACACCTGCTCCAAGAATTTAATTTCTTACAAGCCCAGCTGCTGAAATGGCCTGCTGTGACTGTAAGACCAAATTTACATACCCCTGTCACTCACCAGTCAGAGCCTGCCAGCTTCCGAAAGCTTCTCTAGTGCCAATGAGCTTTCTTTCAAAACAGTATGTAACATTTCTCTAATAAAACCCACAACCTCTTTTTTAGTCTTCAGTCATACCAGAGACCCACCCAGTCTGTGTGTGCCCCAAATTGTCATTATTGTTTTCCAAATGAAATGTTACATTTGGAGATTCATCTGTGTATTTTGAGTTAAACAGCACTTAATATTTTCCTGTTCTGTAACAGAATGGGCATAGTGGCTTACACTTATAATCCCAGCACTTTGGGAGGCCAAGGCGGGCAGATCATCTGAGGTCAGGAGTTCGAGACCAGCCTGCCCAACATGTCAAAAACCTGTCTCTACTCAAAATACGAAAAATTAGCCAGGTATGGTGACAGGTACCTGTAATCCCAGCTACTCAAGAGGCTGAGGCAGGAGAATTGCTTGAACCCAGGAGGCAGACGTTGCAGTGAGTCTAGATCATGCCACTGCACTCCAGCCTGGGCGACAGGAGTGAAACACTGACTCCAAAAAAAAAAAATTCTCTAACAAAAATGGGTAAAGATTAGAAAATGTTGTTATCATTGACAAAAACTTCTGGGAAATTGATGAAATGTTTCTTACAAAGTGATTGTCAAATTAGTATTATTGTTTTAGAATTTGTATTTTTAAATCAGCTTGGAAATTCTAATTGATTAAAATTTTAAAGTTTTATTTTGTAGGATTGACGTGACCTAAATTTTCTTTTCTTTTCTTTTTTTGAGCTGGAGTCTCACTCTGTTGCCTAGGCTGGAGCGCAGTGGTGCAATCTCAGCTCACTGCAACCTCTGCCTCCTGAGTTCAAATGATTCTCCTGCTTCAGCCTCCCAAGTAGCTGGGATTACTGGCACCCACCACCATGCCCGGCTAATTTTTATATTTTTAATAGAGACGGGGTTTTGCCACATTGGCTAGGCTGGTCTCGAACTCCTGACCTCAGATGATCCACCCACGTCTGCCTCCCAAGTGCTGAGATTACAGGTGTGAGCCACCGTGCCCAGCTAACCGAAGTTTTAAAGGGTTTTTTTTTTTTTTTTTTTAACTTTCTTAATTATGTGTGGACTTTATTTCAATGAAGAAACAAAATGATGTAAGATAGTCTCATAGTCATTTTTTATTCTGATCTTTTAAAGTTCTGCCCTTTTTTTCCCCTCCCTTTATATTTAGAATTGCCAACGCCACTCCCATCCCAGGAGACTTGCTTCGAGAAAATACAGATGAGGTATTTCCAGATGAACAGCTTAGTGATGGAGAGAATGGCATCCCTGTTGGTGTGTCACCAGATAAATTGGCTGGATCTCTGGGACAGCCTCGTCCCCAGGAGAAGGATGTTTGGGAAGAGATGGATGCCAACAAAAACAAGATAAAGCTTGGAATTTGTAAGGTATGGTATCTTATAAACAACAGAAATGTATTTCTTATAGTTCAGAATGCTGGGAAGTCCAAGAAGGAAGGCTAGGCAGATTTGGTGTCTGCTGAGGGCTGTTTTGTGGCTCCTCTTTGCTGAGTCTTCATGTGGTAGATAGGGAAAGGGGTCTCTGTTGGGCCTCTTTTGTAAGGACACTACTCTCATTCATGAGGGCTCTGCCTTCTTGACCTAATTCCCAAGGGGCTTACCTCCTAATACCCTCACTTTGGGAGTTAGGATTTCAGCATGTCAATTTTTGGGGGACACAAACATTCAGACCATAGTAGGTGTATATCTTCAGTCATGGGAGTCATTTGCAAAACGTTCTCTGCATAGATGTGATGTGCCACCGTGTGATCTGTCTGTGGACAAAGCACGGTCTGGACCAATAGTAATCAGGAATGAGTAGTGAAAAGTTTACAGGGAGTCAATGTCAGATTTTTGTAGTATCAGCTGCAGCTGGCTTTTTGGCACCAGGAACAAACTGTTCTTGTAGCAAAAAAATCACTAGTGACATTCTGAGTTGTCAGCCCATATGGATATCTATGTATGTGACAGAATGAAATGGCACTTGACATAGAAGATCTTAGTTATTTTAGTTTCTATCTTTTACTATTTAATTTCATTGAAATTTGAATGATAGATAGTTTTGACCCTAAGTCCATTATTTGTTATAATGGTGATGTGAAGTTTATTAAATTTATAATGTATAGTGCTATACATTACAAGCTCTCATTTAGAACATCTGGATAAAGCATTAAGCTAAATATTGGAGACAATTTACTAAGATAGGTGCTGTGCAGTTTAAGATGCATCTTTTACCTTTAAGGAGCTTACAGTCTGTTCAGGTAGATATGTATCTGCACAAGCAAATATAATACAAGACAAAACATTGTGCAAAACATTAAAAGGAATTAAAATGCGTGCAGATAGGGTGGGAGTTGGGGACATGCCTTATGGAAAAAGTGGTTTAAGTAGAAGTATAAGTAAAAATATGTGCAGGAAGGCTGGGCACCATGGCTCACATCTGAAATCCCATCACTTTGGAAGTCAGGTGTTCAAGACCAGCCTGGCCAATATGGTGAAACCCTGTATCTACTAAAAATATATTTTTAAATATAATATTAAATAAAAATTAGCTGGGTGTGGTGGTAGGTGCCTGTAATCCCAGCTACTTGGGAGGCTGAGGAAGGAGAATTGCTTGAACCTGAGAGGCAGAGGTTGCAGTGAGCCAAGATAGTGCCACTGCACTCCAGCCTGGGTGACAGTGAAACTCCATCTCAAAAAAGAAAAATTAAAAAATTTTAAAACATTTAAAATATATATATAATATTGTATGTATATATGTATATATATGAGAAAGTGCATGGATAGAGCTTGTAACTTTAGGAATTTATCGGTCATCTAGGAGAGAAATTCAAAACAACTATAATTATCTTTTAAAATCTACTTATACTATATATAAAAGAGTTTATATATCATTTCAAAGCATAGTAATGTAAGCGTGTGAATCCACCATCTGCCCCAAGAACTAGAATATTTTAACATATTCCTTCTATATTTATGCTTCTACCTTATCCCCACTGAGGTAACCAATGTCTTAGGTTAGATTCCATAAAAGTAGAGCCACAAACCTTAATAAATTTAAATAACTGAAATCACCCATAGTATGTTCTCTGACCATAATGGAATTAATCTAGGAATCAGTGACATAAAGACAACAGGAAAATTTCTAAACACTTGGAAATTACACAGCATATTTCTTTATAATCCATGGGTCAGAGGAAGCTTTAAAGGAAAAGTTTTTAAACTTACATAGAATTGAATGAAATTGAAACTACAACATATCAAAATGTTTGGGAGGTAGCCAAAGCAGTGCTGAGAGGGAAATGTATAGCACTAAATGTTTACATTAGGAAAGATAAGGTTTTACATCAATAGTCTAAGTCCTACCTCAGGAACCTAGAACAGTAACCAGCAGAATGAACCTGAGACAAGCAGAAAGAATGTAATAAATAGTTACTGTATTGCAAAGTTTTGGTGTGTTATATTTTCATTCTCCTTCTGTTTTAAAACTTTTGCCATAATGATTTTTTTCATCCGTGAGTTATTAAGTGCATACAAGTTTAGAATTTTTATATCTGCCAGGTGATTAAAGTTTTGTTTTTCTTTATATAGTGATTATTTGTATTCTATTCCTACTATATTTTTCTAGTATTAAAGCCTATTTTGTTAATACAATTGTGCCAGCTTTCTTTTGGGTATCTTTTTTCTTCCTTTGGTGTATCTTTTTTCCTCCTTTATCTTTCCATTTTTTTCTTACCTGTATTCTTCTGTTGTGACTTTTGTTAAGTGGAATATAAGTGGCCAATCTTACATCTTTATGTTTTAATTGCTCACCTTAATTTGTTTAAATTTAGAATTATTATTATATTATTTATTTAGTCAGAGTCTCACCCTGTCACCAAGGCTGGAGTGCAGTGGTGCAGTCTTGGCTCACTGCAACCTCCACCTCCTGGGATCAAGTGATTCTTTTGCTCTAGGCTCCCAAGTAGCTGAAACTACAGGCGCCTACCACCACACCTGGCTTTTTTTTGTATTTTTAGTAAAGATGGGCTTTTGCCACACTGGCCAGGATGATCTCAAACCTCTGACCTGAGGTGATCTGCTTGCCTTGGTCTCCAGAAGTGCTGGGGTTACAGGCATGTGCCATGGGGCCCAGCCTTGGATTACATTATTAATGTTGTTCTTTTATACAAGTAATGTTTATATGGACTTTCAAAGATGTTTACTATTTTATTTCATTTCTGAAAGTCCTTGGCTCATCTTTCTTCCTGAAATATTTCCTTTAGAAGTTCCTTTACTTCAGGTCTTTTGGTAGAGGAGGATTCTTTCTATAAATGTATTTACTTATCTGCAAATGTATTTATTTTAGCTTCATTCTTTCACAATAGTTTATGCTGAATATAAAGGTTTTTTTTTTTGTTGTTGATGTTTGTTTGTTTTTTGAGACAGGGTTTTGCTCTGTTGCAGTGGTGTGATCTCAACTCCCTTCAACCTCCACCTCTTGGGTTCAAGCAGTTCTCCTGCCTCAGCCTCCTGAGTAGCTGGGCCCACAGGCATGTGCCACCATGCCTGGCTATTTTTTTTTTTTTTTTCTTAAGAGAAATGGAATTTCACCATATTGTCCAGGCTGATCTTGAACTCCCGGCCTCAAGTGATTCACCCACCTTGGCCTCCCAAAGTGCTGGGATTACCAGCGTGAACCACCACGCCTGGTCCAAATATAAAGTTTATGATTGATAGTTATTTTTCCTCGGCTTCAGTCATTGGTGTTCAGAAGCTGTCATTCTAATTATTTTGTTTCTTTTAAAGTGATCAGTTCCCCCACCTTCATCTTTCCTTTCCAGCTACTTTTTAGTTCATGTTTTTGTCTGTAGTGTTCTGCATTTTAACTTTGATACTTCTAGGCAATGTTTCTTTTTGTTTATCTTGCTTGGGATATCTCATGTTCCTTGAACATTTTTATTCATATTTTTATATAAGTTCTGGGAAATAATAGCCATTCTCTGTCTAAATGTTACTATCTCTTCATTCTTTATATTATCTCTTTCTAGGACTCTAGATATATTATGCCTTTTTATTGCATCCATCATATCTCTTAATATCTTTTTTCATAATTTTCTTCTTGTTTTTTATTCTAGGTAATTTCTTTGGCTATGTCTTCCACTTCACTGATTAATAATTTCAACTTTTTTTTTTGCCAACTTGCTGTTTAACTTGTTAATTGAATAGTTAATATTAAGTTAATCATCCAAATAACCCTTTGTTGATCTTTGTTATAATGGCCTTGATTTATTTAAACATTTATGCATAGCTGGTCTATATTTTGTATTGAAACCAGTTCAATATTTGAAATCTTTGGGAGTTTTAAATGTTTTTCTTTGTTTTGATTATTTCTGTTGTGTCAGTCATGGTAGCATGCTTTCTCATGTGTTGATTCTCTCTCTTTTTTTTAAAGTTAATTAATAATTGAAATCATTGATGGGAGTTCTGTAGACTTACTGGGATTTGGGGAAACCTTCCTTTAAAGAAGACTGGCTTGTGTTTCTGCTGCTACCCAGAGTGTATCACCTATTTGACCCAACTGGGTATCCTCTTAAGGGTCTCTAATCAGAATAGATGTCCCAGACTTCCTCTGTCACCATACTTCTGCTATAAAGCTTAATTGCCCTGATAATTGTGTTCCATAGGCACCTGTCTTTAAACAGTCCCACTGCCTGGGCTGCCTTAGCTCCTAGTAGTCTGGCCCCCCGGCTTTTCGTTGTTTTGTTTTTTAGAGGGGGGAATGAGAAAAGGGGTATAGTGACTCAGGCTTGCTGGCCTCTTCTAACTTGTGAGACCACTTACGTCTCAAAGAGAACATCCTTTCCAGGTTTCAGTTTTAGGTTAGTGGAATGGGGTCCCACAAGCATCAAGTCAGACATAATTCAAAAAGCCAAGTCTGTTAAACATTTTTAGACTGTTTATCTTTGTGCCAAAAATATTTTTAGAGACTAAAATAATACTAAAACTGACTATAAATTAAGAAAACACATTTAATGAAGAGTTAATAGATAAAAATGTAATGAAGTAAACTAGTCAAAATGTCCTAATCGTCAGAAAAGACATCTAATCATTTATTTATATTATTTTGAAAGGCTTCAATGACTCCTCTCATGTGTATTGCCTAGAATGTTTTTCATGATTTTATTTTCTATTTTGGATAGGCTGCTACTGAAGAGGAGAATAGCCATGGCCAAGCAAATGGTCTTCTCAATGCTCCGAGCCTTGGGTCACCAATTCGTGTCCGCTCAGAGATTACTCAGCCAGACAGAGATATTCCATTGGTGCGAAAGTTACGTTCCATCCACAGCTTTGAGCTGGAAAAACGTCTGACTCTGGAGCCAAAGCCAGACACTGACAAGTTCCTTGAGGCCTGGTATAAAATAGTTTTTCTTTCTTTTTAAAGATTCTGAGGTACCATTATTATTGTTGTTATGGTATATTTCTGTTATATAAAGTCTTTCAAATACGAAATTCTTGCATTTTTGTGACACTGATTCTATTAAGCTCTAATTTTAACCTATGTTTTAAAATATCCTGATTCTTAATTATTATAAATTCCATAGTATAATCTTTGGCTTTGGAAGCTGACCAGTAGGAGCTGATAACTTCCTAACACTAGGTACAAGTTAAATTAACATTTTTACAGTATCATTGTTTGGAAAGTAATCTCTTCCAAACAACAGTGTAGCATTGGAGAGGGCATGATAAAGATGGCATTAGGCAGAGATGAGGGGAATATGTGAAGGAGGGGAAAAACTAATTTATACACAAGGGACAGGCAATTCAATCCACTTTAGTGGAGACTTTCTAGGAGTAAGGTACTGTAGGAAAATAGGTACCAATAAGTATATCATGCTTGCCTTCAAGAGTTTACAGTCTACCTAGACAGAAAGGAAGGTGAAACTTTAGAGATCTATACATAGGTAAAGACTGTAGTGCATGACTCTGAAGCACATTATCCCTATGACAAATTTTGGTAACAGAAGACAGAAATGAAAACAGTTTGAGACATATCTATGAATTATACAAGGCTTCAACAGTATTCACAGTATTAAGACCTGATTTCCTTTAGTAGTAGTCACACCCTTCAATGGTACATCTCTGGTGGTTACTATTGGTAGTGAAATACTAGGTTAGAGGGACCGTGAATTTGATTAACGTGATAATTACTATGTACCAAGACAATTCAGCCACTTCTGGCCTACTTCAATCTAGCTTCCATTTAAACAATCCTTCACATATGTGTGTTCTTCCTCACATGGTAATCATTCATAGCTATGTTATGTAAGCACATATCTACATGATGACATGATCAAAAGGATGAATGGGGCATTGGTTTAAACATTTTGAATGGTGACTCAGATTGAGAATAAATATCAAAGTACAGTAGGAATAAAAGCTTAGTTCAATAAAAAGTTGGTCTGACAAAAGAAGGGAACTAAAAAGGGCCTTGGTGAGGAAAGAAGTGAGCTCCATCTTCCGAAGCAGGATATGGCAGGTGGAGAAGAACATTATCAATGCTGTGAAACTTTCCTTATGCTTTATCCATCTTTTTTTCTCTCATCTTTGTGTCAATATAGTTCTCATAGAGCTTATGTATTATATAATGAATGTTTCCTTAGGACAATTGAGTAACTTCTTTCTATTTCCTTAAGCCTGGAGAAAAGGCAGAAAGATACCAGTGCAGGAAAAGAATCTATTCTCCCTGCTCTGCTTCATAAGCCTTGTGTTCCTGCTGTGTCCCGTACTGACCATATCTGGCACTATGATGAAGAATATCTTCCAGATGCCTCCAAGCCTGCTTCTGCCAACACCCCTGAGCAGGGAGATGGTGGTGGCAGCAATGGATTTATAGCTGTTAACCTGAGCTCTTGCAAGCAAGAGATTGATTCCAAAGAATGGGTGATTGTGGACAAGGAGCAGGACCTTCAAGATTTTAGGACAAATGAGGTTATAGGACATAAAACAACTGGAAGTCCTTCTGATGAGGAGCCTGAAGTGCTTCAAGTCCTGGAGGCATCACCTCAAGATGAAAAGCTCCAATTAGGTCCTTGGGCAGAAAATGATCATTTAAAGAAGGAAACCTCAGGTGTGGTCTTAGCACTTTCTGCAGAGGGTCCCCCCACTGCTGCTTCAGAACAATACACAGATAGACTGGAACTCCAGCCTGGAGCTGCTAGTCAGTTTATTGCAGCGACACCCACAAGTCTAATGGAGGCACAGGCAGAAGGACCCCTTACAGCGGTAAGAAATTTGTTCTTGTTATGATTCTCTGTTATCCATTTGAGGTGCTATTGAGAAAGGACTAACAGTTGATCAACTTAGATTCTTCGGTAGAAGCCTAAATTTTTTTTTTTTTTTTTTTTGAGACGGAGTTTCGCTCTTGTTACCCAGGTTGGAGTGCAATGGCGCGATCTCGGCTCACCGCAACCTCCACCTCCTGGGTTCAGGCAATTCTCCTGCCTCAGCCTCCTGAGTAGCTGGGATTACAGACACGCACCACCACGCCCAGCTAATTTTTTTGCATTTTTGGTAGAGACAGGGTTTCACCATGTTGACCAGGATGGTCTCGATCTCTTCACCTCGTGATCCACCCGCCTCGGCCTCCCAAAGTGCTGGGATTATAGGCGTGAGCCACTGCGCCCGGCCCAGAAGCCTAAATTTTGCAAATGGTTATAGGGAGTGATTTTGTACTAAGTTCTACAGTCAACTCTCCAACATGAAAAATTTCACCTTCTTTTATTATATCAAACTCAATACATGAAACGTCATTATAACCTATTTTTTGAATAACATTTTTAATTAGATTACAAGCAGTAGCTATCTATGTGTGTTTATATATAATACAGTTTTTTTAAAGTTTCTAGTAATTTTTACTATACATTTATGGAGGAAGGCATATATTTAATCATTCATGGTTTGTTCTTCACACGGTACACATGGTACACTGTTGCTATTCCTGAGACTTTAATTCCCTCTCTCTTTCATAGCATCCACCCAGGAATTTCTCATGTTTTGTATTCCCGTTAAACAGTCATTTTCTAACATTGATGGCCACTGTTCAAAATGCAGAATCCCAGGCTGGCTCACTTCCAAAACTTTTGTTTTAGTAGGTCTGGGGAAGAGCCTGCTCAGGAATCCTCATTTTAACAAGCAGGTAGAGGCAGCATTTATGATATAGGTCTTCTGCAAAGGAAACTTTTGAGGAACCACTATTGTTTATTTTCAGTTTTGGGCATTCAGCTGGAGAAGCCTGTTACCCAGTAAGCAGTGATGCCCCCAGTGACTGTATGAGGGGGAGCCCCAGAAAAGCCACAGATGGTCAAGCTAAGCCTTGAAAAGCCCCAGGCTAAATAAGGAACTGTGAACACAAATCTTAGGCACCCACAAGTACATCTCTCCTTATGTGATGAGAGCTACCAGGTTTTCTTAAATTCCATAATCATCCAGCAGTCCCTGCCAACTCACCGGAAACAGCATTGTTCCCCAAACTGAAATGTTTTCTATTGGAACACAATTCCACATCAGGTGCAAAACAGTGGGAAAAGATACCAATGAAAATTTATTTTGTGTACCGTTCTGAGAAATTTGCCTGTGTTCCAAAATAGGGAAATAAAGGCCTGCCTGCCTCTTCACCAGTCAGAGTTAGTAGGTCTTTTCCTCTTTGCCGGGACTGCTTTGTATAGTTAGGCAGGTTGTTTGCCGCATAAAGGGATTTAGCGAGGAGACAAATTGGGGCTGAAGTCTAGCCCAGACTTTGCTTTCCAGACTCTGCATCTTGGCACAGGGCTGTTTCCTTTTGGAAGGGCATTCTCTTCCAAATTGTACAAAGGTATCATGTGGGCTAGAGGTAGGTGACTACTAAGTCCTTCCCTCCCTGCTCCATCCTTTTTCCCACCCCACCTTTCCTCTTTCCATCCATCCCCTCTTTCTTCCCAGGTTCACCTTCTTCTTTAACTCTATTATGTTGTGTACTAACTTTTGCTCTAGCATCTTTCCAACAGCATTCTGGTGTGCCTTCCTTCATGGAGGCTTTCTAAAGCCTTTGCTCTATTTCTCCTAGTATTCTTTTGCCCTGTCTTGATGCTGTCCTGTTCACAAAGATTGTGCTCATCATTCTCTTACACTACTGCAGTGTTTTCTCTGACAAGTTGTTGATAGGCTTGTATTCACGTATGTGATGTTTGACCTTATTTTTAGATATTTTTGAACTATCTTTCTTTTTATTTATTTATTTTTGAGATGGAGTCTCACTCTGTCACCCAGGTTGGAGTGTAGTGGCACGATCGTGGCTCACTGCAACCTCCGCCTTCTAGGTTCAAGTGATTCTCCTGCCTCAGCCTCCCACGTAGCTGGAATTACAGGCACCTGCCACCACGCCTGGCTACTTTTTTTTGTTATTAACTGAAAGTCTCTAATGAAATGTCAGCTGCATCAATTGTGTACTTATTTTTAAGTTTTTTGTCCCTATTTTAGAGGTAGGGTCTTGCTCAGTCACCTGAGCTGTAGCACAGTGGAACTATCATACCTCACTGTAACTTCGAGCTCCTGGGCTCAAGTGACCCTTCCATGCCAGCCTCCCAAGTAGCTAGGACTACAGGCATGAGTCACCACACCCAGCTAATTTTGTTGTTGTTGTTGTTATTTTGTAGAGACAGGGTTTTGCCATGTTGCCCAGAGTGGTTTCAAATTCCTGTGTTCAAGTGGTCCTCCCATGTTGGCCTCCCAAAGTCCTGGGATTACAGGTGTGAGCTACTGCACCTGACTAATTTTTTAATCTTTTGTAAGATGGGATCCCACTGTGTTGCCCAGGCTGGTCTCAAACTGCTGGCGTCAAGTAGTTCTCCTGCCTCAGCCTCCCAAAATTCTGGGATTACAGACATGAGCCACCATGCCCAGCCAGTGCTTCATTTTAATATTACCTTTAGAAATGGTATAAATGGGCCGGGCGCGGTGGCTCACGCCTGTAATCCCAGCACTTTGGGAGGCCGAGGCGGGTGGATCACGAGGTCAAGAGATCGAGACCATCCTGGTCAACATGGTGAAACCCCGTCTCTACCAAAAATCAAAAAATTAGCTGGGCATGGTGGTGCGTGTCTGTAATCCCAGCTACTCAGGAGGCTGAGGCAGGAGAATTGCCTGAACCCGGGAGGCGGAGGTTGCGGTGAGCCGAGATCGCACCATTGCACTCCAGCCTGGGTAACAAGAGCAAAACTCCGTCTAAAAAAAAAAAAAAAGAAATGGTATAAATGTGGCTGGGCACTAGTGACATCACCCATATGTTATCCAGTGCTATTGCTGTGTAACAAAGTAGCCCAAATTTAGTATCTTTAAACAACAGTCATTATTTTGCACAATTTCTTAAGAGCTAGAAATGTAGGAGTGGCTTTAGTTCATTGGTTCTAGCTCTTGCCTGGTCTCTCATGAGGAGGTTGTCAAGCTGTTAGCCAGGGTTAAAATCAAATTAAAAGTTTGGCTGGGAAGGGAAGGTCCACTTCCAACCTCACTCACATGATTGTTGGCAGGCCTCAGTTCCTTACTGGCTGCTGGCCAGAGGCTCTAGTTCCTCACTTTTTGGGCCCCTCCATAGTTGACATGACATCTAGCTTTCCCAGTAAGTGAGGTGGGAAAGAGAGATGGGCGAAGAGAGGTGAAGACAATGCATCACCACCAAGATGGAGGCCAGAGTCTTTTCTAATCTGTCTCAGAAGGGACATACCATCATTTCTGCCATATTCTACTGCTCACACAGACCAACCCTGTACAGTGGATAAGGGTCTATAAAAGGGTGTGAATACCAGGAGACACTTCTGGGTCATTGGGAACCATTTTAGAAGCTGTCTACCATATTACCCTACATTTATATTTTACAGAATACTTCCCTCTTTGATCTTAACAGCAACTCCATGGGACAAGCAGAGGGAATATTATCATCTCTTTTTATACTGAGAGCACTAAGCCTCAGGAGACAATACATGAAGAGTCAGACGCTGGTAGACTAGACTTGGTGTTCGTCTCTCATGCCAGGAGATTGCACCTTATGCCAGTCTTCTGTCCTTCACACCAGGTCATTGCTAATGCTGAATATACTGAAGGGCTTTCCTAATTGACTTGTTTCTTAGAGATCAAGAAGAGGAAAGGGGGTTTAAAATAATGCACAAAGAAGGAGCAAGACCAAAAGAAAAAGAGTAGCAGAATTTTTAATAATCTGTTAGCCAACATCTCTTGAGAGAATTCCTCTGACTATATTTACAGGACTACCAATACCAGCAGTAATAAGTGAAGTATCTGCTAAATTCCATGCTTTATGTTATAGTTCAGGGATAACAAGTTGGCACCAACCTCTCAGGTTGGCGATGAAAACTTACATCTAAACTGTTACGTTAAACAACCTCAAGTGATTGTAATGGGCTCTTTACAGAAATGAGGACACAGACATATCTGCCTAGGACTGAGGAGTAGAATTTTGGTTATCTTTATTTTTTCAACTTTTCTTTATTTTCTAATTTTTTTAATTTTTTTATTTTTTTTTATTGCATTTTAGGTTTTGGGGTACATGTGAAGAACATGCAAGATTGTTGCATAGGTACACACATGGCAGTGTGATTTGCTGCCTTCCTCCCCTTCACCTGTATCTGTCATTTCTCCCCATGCTACCTCTTTACCATGGTAAAGATGCATTATCTTCATTATTATGGAGGAAGAAAAATTAAAAATCTTTCTGGCAAGGTTAAGGAATGCTTCAAAAATAAGTGGAGTCTGAATGAGGATTAAGTTTGTGGGAGGGTGTCGTGAGAGTGTCAAAGAAGAGAATGTGCAAAGGCCCAGAGGCCTGAAGCACCAGACATCAATGTATTTAAATAAATGATCCAGAAATGTTAGACAAAAGAAAGAGGCTGAAGACAAGCTTTAAAAGGTAAAGTTATAAAGGGCTTTGCTTGCCATGCTGAGATATGTGGGCTGTGGGTCAAGAAACTGCCGCCATTGAGGCAGTGGAGTAATGCGTTCTTTGGCAGCAAGGTAGGGGAGAACGGGCTGTGAGGAGGGTTTGGTGCTAGTCCGGACAGATATGATGAGGGCCTAAACTGTGAAAATCTCAATGAAGATTTGAGAGACATTACAGTGGTAAACTTTATTTGAAATAGCAGTTTCTTTTCTTTCTTTTTTTTTTTTTTTTTTTGAAACAGAGTCTCACTTTGTTGCCAGGCGCTAGGCTGGAGTGCAGTGGCACAATCTCAGCTCAC